CAGAGCACAAATCACATATGCTAACTAGAGCTTTCTGTACAATTTACAGTGCCTCTCAAACCCAAGAAAGTTTAAATTAAAATTAAACAAAAAATATCTCACATAAAATTAATAATTAGGTATATTGTTGCTTACACTTATTTTTTTTTTTTTTTCAATGTCCCTTTAGCCCTTTTAAATATCTATAAACACAATATTCTCTACATAAAAATTTCTAGTATGAATTTTTCATTTACCGAATTACCGGTAAATTTCAAAAATTTACCGGTAAGTTTACCGAATGTTTTTTTGTCAATTTATCGGTAAACCGGTATACAATCCCTAGTGGGTACCTAAACGTTTAGTATTTTAATATTAATTTAATGCAAATGTATACATACCCAATAATATTAAACAGAAAAAATAAATATATTCAATAAAAATCTTTGTTTTAACGAATGTACAATGTCGCGGCTCGGTAAATACGTCAACACTGAAACAAAAATCAGTCTGGTATAGGGAAAATCGGGGAATTACACAGCAAAATCGCGAATTGTGCAGCAGCGTAAATTGAACTGGCGTAAACCGAGGGCTATCTGTATTAATAACTAAAACCTTTTCCACTTCCTATTCTTATCTCCATATTCAGCACATCATCCTGTCAATTCACACACCAATTATATACAGATATATTTGGTAAATATTTTCTAAAATGAAATTTCTTTGAAAAATGGGCCACCCAATCAAGATCTAGAAGCTCCTTATATTTAGATTTAACAAAAAAGTTAATGAATTACCAGAACTGCTTACTGTCAGCAGACACCACACTTTTATTAATCCTCTGTAAAAAAAAAAAAAGCTTAGTTCTGCCTAAATTACGAGTCACAATAAAATAGTGGTTTAATAAAATTACTCACAGCTACACTATCCTCAATCTTTGCTCTTCTTATCCTGTTCGATGCCTATTTTCTAACAATACTCAACCTAAAATCTGTATCAACATAGAAAAATTAGACATTCCAAATGCCCTTAGGCACCAATCTGAAAATGAAGATTTAATTAAACAATCCAGTACCTCAAACATTAACACTTGCTGACTCTGAATTATACACATTAACTTATTATATTTATAATTTACCATTTCACTACATTCTTCCCTACAAAAAATTCTCTATTACCCATAAGCCTTTTTAAAGGTTCTCATATTTTCTTTTTAAGTTTAGAGTCTAAAACTACACTAATTGGGAAATGATTACTATATACTTTATCCAGCACTAAAAATTTGTTACAATAGATAACTGAGTCAGCCTAACCAAGGCTAAATTAATTCCAGAACATCCTGTTTCACCCACATAGGTATAATAACCTTTGTAGACAGATGGTCCTTTGCAATTTAAAATTATATATCCCACATCTTCACAAAAATCCAACACCAGTCTTCTGTGATTATTTATCAGTGTATCTTGTGATAATCATGACATCCAAACCTGATCAAGATCTTCATTACAATCAAAAATCTACTGCTGTAGATCCATGCTAATGCGAGCATTAAAATCACCAACCAGTAAATCAGTCTTATAGCAGCAAACCAACTTAACTACTTCTGTCCAAATATCATTCCATAAAGCAGAACTTTTCTTAAAATTAGGACATTCAGTAATTTTTTTTTTTCTTGATATACATAAAACAAAAAGAAATTACTGAATGTCCTAATTTTAATTCCATAACAATCCAATACCTATCTTTTTCAAAAATATTCACTTTTAAGGAATCAAAAGCATCCAGCTACCAATAAAACAACCTCTATCAGTCTCTCGATAAACAGTTTCCTAAAGAACAGAAAAGTTATTCATGTTATGAAGATCAGAAATTAGAGTCCTACCATCCCACCAGGTCTCCATCAAGAAAATTATGTCAAAGGTACATAAAAAATTCCAAAAAGAATTAGATTTATTTACAATACCTTCACAGTTCCATGAAAGTACTGATATGCCTGCTCCCAGTCAAGTTGAAATTTGCTCCTCCATTTTCTTAGAAACTATATTATATTTATAAACTTTCACTGTATTCCTATTACTTAAATAAATAATTGATGCTTCCATCATCTTTTTTTCTGTAGCAAAATTATTAACTATTTTTCTTTTATTTCTAGTTAGAGGGGGAAGGTCATCCATTATAAATACCCTGGATTCCTTTAATTTAAATGCCACTCTTTTAATCTTACATTTATTGTCATAATTCAAAAACTACAATAAATTAACCTAATTCTACCATTCTGTTGTTGCCCCAATCTATAACACTGCTGTAAATTGATGTGATCAACATTTGATTTTATTTCAATATTATGTCTCTAACCTGCAAGTTATCATTTTTTAACTCAGGTAATCCAGAAATTAATAAATTGTTGTGCCTTAAAAAACACTCAAACTGCTCCTGACTTAATGTAAAATCATCCAATTTACTCTCCGAGTCTATTCCTTCAACTGACGAAACCTTGCCTGTATTGTGTGCAAATTTTTTCTCAAAATTCTCAAATCTAGTTTCTAAATTAACAATAGCTTTATCCAAATTTTCTACCTAGGTGAAGATTCTATCAACTTAAGCAATCATTCCTTCCAATTTAGTATTCTGCTTTAAATTCAGTTGAATTAATAGCACTATCTCATCCTTAATATCCAGTTCTCCCCAAAGTAACTCTAAAATCCTTGTCTCCTCCAATGGGTCTGGGTGAAAAATCTTAGATCTATTATCTGACTTGCTCACTGGCAAATAGATCTTCCTTTTACATATGTCAAATATTTTCAATAATCTTACCTGAAAAATTAAATGAATTGTTAATTATAATATGCCCAAAAGTGTCGACCAAAAATGCTGCCCAGACTTAACATTAATAATTTATATATTTTGGTGTGATATAAATAGTTTTAAAAATTTAAATTTTTATTACATGAAAATTAATAAGTTTTTGATGCTATAGCAGTTTACAGCAAGTTTGAATTGAATATGTCATGGAAATGCTTATTGTTTTTTTCAGTGTTATAAAGTTAACATTATATAGTGTTATAAATGAAATAAGAACTCTTTATTATTTAACATTTGAACTAATTTTTAATAGAAAAATTTTAGTTAGTTATTTTCACTAATCACTTGAAAGTTAATGTAAGATTAATTAAGCATAAATATAAAATTGTTCAGTTTTTAAATTGCATTTAGCAAGAGAAAATTCAAACATTTTTTTCCAGACTTTTGATATAAATCTAAATACAGTAGAGTCTCGAAAACTTGGCACTCGATAACCTGGCAGTCTGGATAACTCGGCCACACCCTGGCAGGGCAAAAAAATCCTTAGTTAATTAATTTTCATTATAGACAGCTTTATAAAAGTATAAAAGCTCTCATAAAGTATTTTTCTGAGGTCTGTCTTATCAGGTAAATTACTGTACACAGTGTATTCATTAATTTTCATTTTCATGTAGTAAAGGCTCTATGCCTTCATAAAGGACGTACTTTTCCTTTGTTTAAGGGTATTTGGGCAGTTTATTCTCTGTTGTATTCTCAAGTAAACAATACATACACGTATTTTCTGAGGAAACACTCATACTTATTTTTTTTAACCCCATTCCCGATAACCCAGCATTTTCACAAACTTGGCCATCCTTCGGTCCACATTAGGCCAAGTTTTCGAGACTCTATATAAAATTACTTGTCCTGACTGAGTATTTGACTGATTGATTCATTATTGCCCAGAACAAACCACTGAACCTAAAGAGGTGAAATTTGGTACACGATTAGGGTATGTCATGAAAACACACACTAAGAAGGGATTTTTTGAAATTCCCCTGTGGGGGGAGAGGGAGAGCATTAAGGCTTAACCTGAAGAACGGCTTCTACTGTACTATTTTAGATGCAATTTTTTTTGTTTTCAACTATATTTATTGAGTACTTAGGTGTATTAAATTGATAACATTTCAAACATTGTTATAAATATTTTTATATATTTTGATTTTTTTTACCAAATGTTTGAACCATTTTAAATTCAAATTTGTTATTGCATATTGGTTTGATCATAAAACGATTGTAAACGTTCCAGAAAATTGATCAAATTGAAAACAGTTTGTTTGATTCTCAGCAATTCTCATCATTCTCAGTGGTAGGTGTTATATAACAATTACTATGGTTGTTGAAATGCTGAATATAAATGGGGTTTGCTTGCAAAATCATCACGGGCAAAGTTGCGGGTAACAGCTAGTGAAATATAAAAATGATATTTAATTTTGTTATACTATATAATAATGTTAAATTAAAATTAAACTTTTTACTGTAAATATTTAATTATATGTACAGTACTTACTATATAACTAAATATTTTATACTTGAAAAATAGTTAAATATTTTCTCTCTATATATATTTTATGTAAATAGTAATAACATATTTTTGTGCAAATAAGAGCATCTTTCATATATGAAAATTGCTTGTTTTTTTTTTGTGTTTGAAACACATCCTGCTTTGCTTATAAAAGTATACTTCATATATAAAGACATGTTCTTATGTGTACCAGCTTGTTTTGATATACAAGAGCACTGCTGTGACAATGTAAATTAAATATAAAGGTATTGGTACGGGAACTATTTAGTGCCATCTCTGTGGCAACATTATTAAAAATAGAAAGCCAAAATTTAAAAAAAAATACACTTCCAATATTATAAAAGTTTTTTAAAAATAGTGAGTGTTTTTAGATACTTAATATAAAGCAGGCATTCTCTTATATTCATGGAAATATGATAGTTGAATATTATAAGCAATGATTTTTTTTATTTACTAAAGTTAATTGTAATTAATATAGTTGGAAATTAAAAGAAGTACAGGAATTCCACGCAGCTTTATGGTTCCTGTTGATGGGCCAGAGCATAAAGGTGCTCTTCTCACTAGTACTGGAGAATTTGCAGTCCCACTTATTGATCAGTAAGTCTTACTTAAATAATTTTTTAAATAAAGATTGAGATGTATATGTTTAAAATTTTATATATTTTAGTGAAGCTTATAAAGAAGTCAAAAAGGAAAAACCACCATTTTTGAAAGAACCAGAACCAGAACCAGATCCTGAACCAAAACTCCCAGAAGATTTATTGTGTATGGTTTGCAGAGATTTATTACAGGATGCAGTACTCATACCATGTTGTGGAGATAGCTTTTGTGATGAATGTAATTATTTATATCTTTATTCTGATTCATTCAAATTAAAGCAATAATAAAATAAAATTTCAAAACTATATTAATATACATAAATTGTATTATTTTGTCAAAAATGTTATATTATTTTTAATGTAAATTCTTTTTATGCCTAAGTTTCACAATTGAGTAACATTTGACTGTGTATTTTAGATAGGTTTGATTTTACTAAGCATTTAACTAAATATAACAATATTTATTTGATACATGGAAAATAACAATTGTACATTCTGAGGGGGGAAAACTTCAAAATATATCAATTATTTTAAATAAAAATATATAAAAATATATTTATAAATTTAATACATATTACACTTGTATTATATTAATTGTTAGTGACATTTTTAAAAACAGTATTTTGTTTTTGTTTACTTAGATAATTTTTAAAATGCTTCAGTTGAAGTTTTTTATACTTTAATTGTAATACAATACAGCTATATATATATATTTTGTTTCTGAAGTATAACTGTAGAATTTTTCATTAGATAATATTTTGGTGTACAAAAACACAAAACAATTTTTCAATATTTAAAAAATTATTTTTAGAACTACAGAATTTATTAAATAAGATCAGATTTTCTTATGTAATTTCTATTTTTTTTTTAATACTAAAGTGATTTGAAATTGAAATTTTGTTTTTTAAATGTTCAATATTAATTTAAAATCATAGTACTTAAATAAGAAATGGTGATTTATTATTATTTTTTTTAATGTTATAATTATAATAATAATATACAATTATAATGCTAATTAATAAGAATAAAATCATACCAGCTTATTTGTTGATAAAAAGACTATAACACTAAAATGTTAAATTTTTAATTTAATAATGATACTCTTTTATAGGTGTCAGACAAGTATTATTGGATTCAGAGAATCATGAATGTCCTGTATGTCATGAAACAGATATATCACCAGATAATTTAATTCCCAATCGCTTCTTACGAACTCAAGTTATGAATTTCAAAAATGAGACAGGTTACACTCGTGTTAAAGGTGGCCGTTCCCAACCTGTTGAAAATCTTCCTATAACACAAATTCAATCTCCAGCTGTTACTCCAGTGCATCTTTCACCTGTAAATACCATTATGGTTCCACCTTCTCCACTGCAGTCTCAAACACCTCCTACCATCCAGATAAGTTCACCCTCACATATAATTAATGAAAATGAAGCATCAAATTCTCTTCAAAATGAATGTCATGAAAAAATTTTAGAAGAAGCATCAGTTGTTTGCGAAGAAGTTAAATCTGAGTCACAGATTTTGCATTCTCCAAATAATGATACTTTGGAGAAACATGAATCAACACACATTGGAATAGAGTAAGAATCAAAACTTAAATATTAATATTAGTAGTATTAGTAGTAGTATTATAATTAATAATGTAAGTAATATTTAGAATAAACTGGTAAATTGACAAGTGTCAAGTATAACAGCTTTCATAGGGATGTAAATGTTTTTTGAATAGTAGTATGAAATATTGTGGAAGCTCCATTTTTATGCTTTCTTTATTTGCAGATCTTGCATATTTCTAGTTTGGTATTTGTAATTACTTTTCATATTTATAAAGGTAAAATTTACTTATTTGCAGGAGGATTAAGAAAATTAATGAGACAATAAAAGGGAGGTACTTAGATTATTTTTAATGTGTCTGGTTCAATTCTGTTGTCAGCCATTAGATTGCATTATTAAAGCATGTGAACTTATGTGAATAGTAAATATTGTATTATATATTAGTATATAATATAAAGGTTAGCACTGTGTATCAAGGCTAAATTTTAGTTAATTTTTATGTTACAAATCAAAAATGTCAGCTAAAGTCTCTAGTATTTTGATATTTTATCAGAAAAGCAAGAAGAAAAAAAAGATGTCTTTTGAAAACAGAATTAGGTTGTAGATCATATGCAAGGAGGAGAGTCAGAAATCAGATTCATTTATTAATGCATCGCAAAAAACATTAATTAAGAAAGAAGAGAGAAAGGTTAAAATTGCATTGGCAAAGTTTCTTATATGAAACATTTTAAATTTGTTTAACCTGTTGTACGTGGATCCCGAAAATATTCGTGTTGACCTCATTGACCTGCATGGGCGATCCCGAATATTTTCGTGTTTACATCAGAACATTTTTGATACTAGATGTCGCTTTGCGTCACAATTTTTATATTAAAACAAACTTTTAAAATAAAATTTTTTTTGTTTTTTATATTATTCAATATATATATTTTGTTTGTGAAACATAAAAAAATAATTTTTTACGATACAGTAAACACGATTATTATTAAAAAAAAAAAATAGGCTTAACATCGACGAAAATTCAACATGGCATCACATGCAACAAAAAAAAATTTCAACATCGAATAAGTTAATCTTCTTCATTTATATATAAAAATGAGGATGTTTGTTTGTTTGCTATGCATACCTAGGCCATTCAACCATGTGCTATGAAACTCTGAAGTTGCATTCACATACTTCCAACTTAGATCATGTCATACATCTTACACCAAAATATTGATGGATTTTTACATATAAATTAATTTTTGTCTATATTTGATTTTCTAACTTTACATGTAGCATCATCTATTGGCAAAAATTTAAGAAACTAATAAAGTAAATATAATTTTTACAAAAAAGATATAATTTTAAAAATATATATATTATATTCACTTAATTACTGCAACAATGATATAGTGTGAAATAGATTACATGCCATTATGCCATTACTGCAACAGACAGACAGACAAAATAATCTTTATTCAGCCCGATACTGCTAGGCACAATCAGGAAGAAAATGTAGAGCATACCTTGGTGAAACATGCTGAGTGAAGTAACCAAATAATACCGGAGAAAATAAAAGAAAAATAAGATAGGATGAATTAAACAGACATTATGCAAATTCAGTGATACAATGAATAAGCAATGCAATTCGCATGGTGAGTTCAACACATTATATACAAAACAGTATAATCATGTATGTACTGTACAGGGAAAATATAATGGATCAAAATGGACAAGCATTGTGCCGAGCCAGTCATACATTAAATAAACATTAGGGTATGCCACGAAAAGACAGTGTAACATTTAGCAGTACGTTGAAGACAGAAGAGATGAACAGTCCATTATTGGATCATTGTTCTTGTGAAATAGTTTGACAATTTTTCTAAATAGGCAGAAGTATTTTTTGCTATACAGTACCAATTCTAGATCACATGGACAGTCAAGATTATCTTCATCCATGAGCTGCTTGAGTTGATGCCTTATATCTTCTAGCATTGAACAAGACAGCAGATAGTGTTTCACCCCATCCCACATCTCGCAGATGGGGCAGCAGTTCATGCCAATGATATTGAACCTATGAAGGTATACATTGAACTGTCCGTGTTCAGACAGAAACAGTAAAGTTTGGTGATGGTGTAAAATCAGTTCCAGCAAAGATATCTTTTGATGCTCAGGATAAACTGATGGGTGTTGCTCAGGAATGAGTTCCCATTCTCGCTGCCATGCTGCAATGATGTCATGCCATAAAAGTGCTTCAGTCTGGAAGCTGGTAGATAACTATAGGCTGGATCAGTGTTTGTAAGTAGAGTAACTGCACATGCAAGAGAATCAGCATGTTCATTTCCCATATTGCCACAGTGTCCCCGAATCCATTTAATACCATAAGTGTTGTTGGTCTGGGCAGCAGAAGAAAGAATATCTCTAGCTATGGGATGGGTGCTATCTTTATTAGTTAATACATGGATGGTGGCAAAGCTGTCAGTTAGGATGGAGATGTCATTAATGCTAAATTTTATGTTGCAAAACTCTATTGCTTTAAACACAACAAACATCTCGGTCTAAAACACTGAACACTCTGGGTGCAGAACATAAGTGTTGTGATGAACTTCATTGGTGTTAACATGCATGACAAAAGCTCTTGCAGTATCCATGAAGTTTTCAACCCATTGGTATAAACCTCAATGTTGGTTTGGGCAATCACGAGGTCCAAGGCCCCTCCTATGTGTTGGATGAGGCAAGTCCACAAAAGGCCTGCTGACCTCGTAGCAAGACGCATTGTACATATTACTAGAAATAGTGATGCTCTTTCCTCTGGACAGCAGAAACTGCCCAGCACAGTATTGGATTTGACGGAGAATGGAAGGCTTCCCTTTCCCTGCAAGAACAGGAAGAGCATTTGAAACAGTGCAGTAGTAATGAGTAAGTTGTAGGAGAGCAAGATGCTGGGCTGTTCTAAGCTGACAGTGGTTGTGAGATTGGGAGGCTGCCTCACTCCAGACAACTGAAATGTAGCAAATGATGGGCATGAACACACAGTCGTAAATAGCATTGATGGCCTCATAGTCAAGACCCCAACTATTTCTGGCAAGCCATTACTGCAACAGATGGTAGCACATAGAATTTTCCTGTGTGGAGTGAAGTAGTGTTTTGCCCCTGTACATCATACTTTTTCTGTTAGCAATAGAGTTGTGACAGTTATGTATCAAACTCCATTTAGGGCAAAAATTTTTAATTGAAATAACATGACATTCAATTTGTATTGGAAGTTCAGATATAGTTAATTGAGGCCTCCTGTCCATAAGCTTTCCATATCTGGTCTCAGCATTCATCTATCTAACTCTTAGTTGGTTAGGGTTAGACAGCAGATGGACAACAGTGAATTTATAGTCTGTGAGTTTTTCAAAATGAAGCCCAATAAGTACCCTCCAGTAACCGAGTGTATAAAATCACCAAACGTCAGTAGTCTGTTATGGGTTTGCACATGGTCAACAGACTGGTTGTGTGCAGTTTTCTACATTTTCTTCATGTTAGTAACACCTAAATAGGGGACAGCTTTACATAAGTCTTTCTGAGATGTATCCTCCTTGGCAGATTGCTCACATGTCATGCTGCTGTAATTAAGTAAACCAAATCAATTCTAATAATTTTTCTATAAATGCAATAATTCACGTGGACATACTTCACTATCACAAAATTGGACACTCCCCTGATTTCATCTTTACTTTTTAACTCATAAACACATGGCTCCAAACTTCCTTCACTGGTACTGCTTAAAGATGTTCTAACAATGTTCAGCCAAATTAATGTATTGTACTGTACTGTACTGTACATGGAACAATTTTAAGGTACAAAGCTCGAAGTCTTTTTCTGTGCCAATATTTATTTTTCCTATTTATTATCACGGTGAGATTGCTTCATTCAAAACTTCCTGAAGTTGTAGTCTGTGTAATATGCACTTTATTCACATGTTGTGTCTTGCTGTTAAATCTGCTTCCACTATTCTTATACCACAATTTTCAAAACTCTCCTTTACTATGTTTCTGCTTAGCTTTACTTTATCAATCTGGTTTTACCAGTTTTTTCTACAAGATCATATAAAAGCAATTATTTTTGTATTTTTATGGGATTTTTTTATTTATTTAAACAAATCTTATATCAAGTCTTCTGGATGTTAAGATTAGCAACTTTCATCACATTGGGGCTATCACAACCTATCCAACACGGATCACTTTTCAAATGTTAATAGTAGACCAATATTAATTAGTAGTCGTTGACCATCCTTTCTTCTGGGAGGAGGTCAATAACTACTTTTGGTTGAATTAACTGGGAACCCCTGCTCTACTGTATACAATTTAAAGAAATTTTTTTAATGTGTTAGATTGTTCACTTTGATAAACACTTACATAAGGTAACCTTTATAGTTGTATAAATCAAATACTATACTATAATATAATATAATTGAAGGATTAGAAGTATGAAATAATCTTAATGTTTGCTTGTATTTTTTGCTTGGGCAATGCCAAGCTTACTTGTTAGTATATTAATATTTTGTCAGTTTCCTAATTTTTAAATGTATTTCTTCTTTCTGTATTTGTTGTTTCCATAACGTTTGGTATTTACTCTCTCAGCTGTGTTGATTTGTGATATTTGAATTTTAAATTTCTATGTTGTATATAATTAAGATTGATACTTTCTATAATTTTATAACAATGTGCACATTTTTTGAATGAAAAGTTTAATACCATATGTTTTAGAGTAGAAAGTTTAGGAATAATGTCATTAGTTATTAAAGTTGTAAAGAGATGGCTTAAATGGTACTCATTTTATTCATCTACATTGATTAACAATCAGTAAACTATTATAATTTGATTGAATTGAATTGATTGAATGATGAAATTTTTTAATCCATTAATTTATGATTGATGAAGATAGATTGGATATTATATTGGCAGATAATTAAAACAATTATCATTATGCCAAACAATCTGCCATATTATCCAGCTGTAATAAGGCTAATAATTACATATAAAGTAATTTGACTAGAGGTATGTGGTCGGGCTGTCATTCGTGATAATTTTAATACAGACAACTCATATTAATATGAATCACTAGGGAACAGTAGTTAGTTCACTTTATCGAAAAATTTGTATTAACAATTTTCAGAGTTGAGGTTGTATAATTTATGCATTAAGGATTAATAAGCAGTTGAAATCTCTAAATTATAATATTTTGAATTAATTTACTAAATAAAGTTAAATAAAATTAAATTTATTTACTAAAATAAATTAATGATCTAAATGATTTTCAAGTCAAACAAAATGAAGAGAGTATTCACCATTTAAGTTTAGAGCAGTATATCAAAGGAAAGCAAAGCTAAAAGAAGTCTGATTTTTTTTTCCTTCTGTTGAAGTTTGTTTGAAAAGTAGATAATATTTTTTCATGCCAAAAGAGTAAAAACAGGCCCAAATTTGGTGCAAAGTAATCAAATCTGGCATTGCTGTATGCACCCTCAATATGCAAGATAACACCTGTTTACATGGGACCGCATCCATTTACAGGGGTGGTCATTCCTAAATTTTAACCCCTGTTTTCCGAGTACAGTGGAATGCTCTGCAAAAACCAGATGTTTGAATTGCTCTACAATCAGAGATCAACCCATCTTTGCTTACTAAGAGAAGAAAATCTGTTCTACTGAAAGTAGAACATAAATTACAGTACCACTTAACATGGGTGAGTTAGAGCATGTTGTGAATTAATATAGGAGGTATATAGATGACATCATCATTATCTGGAAAACAACGCCAGATGCAACAACCTTTGTCGATTCTTTCAACAATAACCCACACGGGTTGACTCTAGAAATAGAGCAATCTCACCCATCAGAAGTACACTTTCTGGATATTAGCATCAAGATCGATAGCTCGGGAATCAATACGTCGGTATATCATAAACCCGGAGCCACATCATCATATATTCCGACCGGGTCATGTGATCCGAGCTCGTACAAGACCGCAGCTTTTAGAGCATTAATCCCTTAACGCCCAACTGGTTTTAATTATGATGTAATTAAGCATAAAAATACATAAAAATACTTAAAACTGAAAAAAACGAAAGAAATGCGTTACTTTTGAAGAAAAAGCTTCAAATTTTATTTTCCTTTGTCTCGCCTTTCTGTGAAATTTAACACCAATGAGTCATTGTTTACACAGCTGGATGACCTTGAACACAGCTGGAGTCTGATTTCCCAGGGCATTCTCATAGACGTCTTGGGAGGACAAGGGTTTAAAGTAGGGTGAATATGACAGACACGGATATTTTAAAATATTTTTAAAAAATTAAAATTTTAATTGCGATTTCCGACCCCCCCTAATTAATTAAATTAATATATAAAAAATCGATTGATTAAAAAAATTAAAAAACTTTTGGAGGTCGTTTTTGACATCAGAAAGCAGCTTTAAATAACTTTACCGAAGTCAAATCCGTGCGCTACAACTTAGGAACCATGAAATAAATTTGATAAAAAAATTCCCATTAAAAAACAATTAAGCCTTAATCGAGCCTTATCAAAGACTCATTAAAATCGCAATAAAATTTTTTCGCGCGAGCAAAAAATTTTGAAATTAATAACTAACTCCTGTGTTAAACCATCTGACTCCGATTTAAAAACCACAGAAATTATTAGGCTTCAAACAGGATGAACAAAATCATGCCCCACACACACAGTCTAACATCCACACATATAGAAAAAACCTCAAATCTTTTGCATATCTCGAAATTTCAAGGTGTCCTGAGTCCAAAAATTTGGGAGGGGTCATTTTTTGAGTTAGTGTTACACTTTTCCTCTGTTATATATAACAGCCGGAAAAGTAAAAATTATCGAATGCATATTTATATATTACTTTGAGAAGTCTTTTAGCTTTGGAATAAAAAGTTTCTATGCTCTATCTTTATTAGAACTCTACTTATTGAATCTTTTATTCTGAGGTCATGTGATGACATCAGAATTTCTGGGTTTCTTTCATCCACCCCTGGTCGGAGTTGGATGGTAAGGAAGAGTCGGAGTTGGAGTCGGTAGATTTTTATGCGACTCCACAGCCCTGGTCTTTTGTTTGAACATCACGCAACTCTTGATTACTCACTCCCCACTATTGTTCAGCTTACATGTTCGGATGTGTTGCACGAAATTGACACATAGCTAGGCCTACTATTTATTTTGTGTTATTTCTGTGTTTGTTATATTGTGGTCATATGCACATAGTGAGGTTTATTTTTACAAAGATGCATATGGTAAAACAATAAAACGTGCTTTTATTTTGCCGGTATATTTTCACTTTACAGGATCATCTGGATTCCGACACTCCTAATTTCCTCTCAAAACAAAACCTTTTTGAGTCCACAGTCAGAATAAAATTATCGCGATACAAAGAAAATACTTATCAATAACTTAAATCTACTTATTCTAATAAGGGAAAGAGAGAAAAGGATAGATAATAGGATAGATAGAAATATAGTTTCAAGCAAGAATGGATACCCAAGTTGGCGATCAAAGTGGCAATGGTCGGATGATGTCATCCTGGATTGGGGGGGCGATTGTATGTGAAAGCCGATCAATATTTCGTTTGGCTTTTCAGTGTTCAGATGTCCTTAATCACGATACTTCTTTCCTCTTTGGGCCTTGTACCTTCTTTTCTTTCGAACCTTTCATTACATTCTCCAGTCAGTGCAAAAAAATGACCTGGAGACCTCTCCGACGTGTCTTCCCTTTTCCAGGTCTCAAGCAAAAAGTGACCCTCTCGTCTCTCCCTCTTGCCTCTGGGCTATTCCTTTCCTTTGTCCTCTAACCAGATCACCCATCAACCATACTTGGAAGAAAGTTCCAGGAAGTATAAACAAATGAAAAAAGGACAAAGAAGGAAGGAAGGAAAAATAGAAAAAAATATATAAAACATATATGAAAAAATAAAAAAATACATTGGTGTACCACCACAATATCTACGGAGACTTGAGAGACTCTATGTGATGATTTCTTGTAACCATGAACGAATCAAAAGACGATATAAGATTAACGAGAACATTTATTAGCTTACATACATTCGACTTGGATTTTACACAAATTGCGAAATTATACCCCAACTTATGTGAATTCAACTTACACAGTTATCGCTCAGTCCCACCTCGCTCGGTTATCACGTAAGTTCGAGGTATTACTGTAATTATATAAGAAAGGAATGAAACTGGAACCTTAATTAAATGAAAAGAAAACTCAAACAGCTTCAGCTAAATAGTAGTCTGAAAATGTACCTAATAAATCTTTATTTTTGACTTTGTTAACAAACAGTCTATTTTTTTTTAATATATATATTTATATATAATTGTAAATTCAAAATTTTGTGTTTTAAATATTTATATGATTTAATTTTTAGGCTTGATGATAATCAACCAGGAACTCCTTTAGCTGATGAACCACCTGTTGATTTAGAAACTGAGTTGGTTACAGATCAGAAATTGTCTACTGATGCATTGCAGAACACATTAGATTCTCCTTATGTTTCATCACTTCCTATTGATGGTGTTTGTATTGAAAGTCAAGGTGATAATTCACTATCTCCAAGAATGGATAATATATCAGGAAACACTATTATGACAATTACTACACGTGGTCCAAAATATATGCATTCGGTAAGTTAAAGCAAAAGATTTCATCATGTTAAAAATTAATGTCATTACATCATGTCATTACATATTAAACACTCTTAAATGCTAGTAAGTTTTAATGAGTCATTCCATAATATATTTTAAGAATATAGAATAGTTTTATATTTTTTTATGATTGGAATTCTTTAAAGATTAAATAAATTATTTTTAAAATTTTAGGGATTCAATACTTACAGTGGATGTCTTCAAAATCAACATTCAAGACAGTATCAGTCACGATCTAATTCTTCTAGAGGACCGTCCCATGGTAAATTTTGAATTGAATTTTAAATATGTGATTTATTGTACTAATTATGAATAAACAACTTTAACTTCAACTTATTACTTTCCTGGCTGTTATATATAACAAAAATAAAGTATGGTGATCAGTCAAAAAATGACCCCCAAGACATTTTTGGACTTAGAACAACTTGAAGCATCAAGAGAAATGCAAAAAAAAATATGGGGATAATTTCTGTGTGTATGGATGCTTGTGTGTGTGGTGCACAGTTTTGTTCACCCTGTTTGAAGATTAATAACCTGGGATATTACATCATCTTGTTAGAACCACATATGCTGCAATCCTTATATCAGTTTTAGGCAAAAGAAAGTTTTGTAACACTGTTCTATAGCAATAAGCAGTCAAAGTAACAACATTTTTGTTGTCATCTTCAAAGAGGGTCCAATGATGTCATCAGCCGAAATTACATACCAGTTACTTTACTAGGGTGAATAGGTCATTCATGAATTAATCTTGGGTTTTCTGTTACCCAGACTGACTATTCTGTTTGTTAACAGATCCACTTAAATCAAAATTATCTTTGTCACACATAATGAAATTTTCAAAGAAATTTGGGTTTTCAATACTCATCTGTAACACTTCTGAATTCCATTCATGGTGGCATTTATGGTCATTTTGCAACTGTAGTATTAAATGAATCTTGTATAAGTGAAACTGCAGATCCTTCCATAAAATTTTCCATGCAGTTGTTGAAGTAGCACCAATTTCTTGTGTTGTCTAACAAAGGTCCTGGATATATATCAACACTTTTCCTCATAGCATCAATGTTTTGTGGAGTAAATCTTGCAGAGTATATTGCATTTGAAAATTATTGATTATACTCTGAATTCTTGGCTTTGAAGTAACGATATATACCCCAAAATAATCTCAGTTTTCTTTGGGCGATTGTATGTGAAAGCCGATCAATATTTCGTTTGNTATTCAATATATATATTTTGTTTGTGAAACATAAAAAAATAATTTTTTACGATACAGTAAACACGATTATTATTAAAAAAAAAAAAATAGGCTTAACATCGACGAAAATTCAACATGGCATCACATGCAACAAAAAAAAATTTCAACATCGAATAAGTTAATCTTCTTCATTTATATATAAAAATGAGGATGTTTGTTTGTTTGCTATGCATACCTAGGCCATTCAACCATGTGCTATGAAACTCTGAAGTTGCATTCACATACTTCCAACTTAGATCATGTCATACATCTTACACCAAAATATTGATGGATTTTTACATATAAATTAATTTTTGTCTATATTTGATTTTCTAACTTTACATGTAGCATCATCTATTGGCAAAAATTTAAGAAACTAATAAAGTAAATATAATTTTTACAAAAAAGATATAATTTTAAAAATATATATATTATATTCACTTAATTACTGCAACAATGATATAGTGTGAAATAGATTACATGCCATTATGCCATTACTGCAACAGACAGACAGACAAAATAATCTTTATTCAGCCCGATACTGCTAGGCACAATCAGGAAGAAAATGTAGAGCATACCTTGGTGAAACATGCTGAGTGAAGTAACCAAATAATACCGGAGAAAATAAAAGAAAAATAAGATAGGATGAATTAAACAGACATTATGCAAATTCAGTGATACAATGAATAAGCAATGCAATTCGCATGGTGAGTTCAACACATTATATACAAAACAGTATAATCATGTATGTACTGTACAGGGAAAATATAATGGATCAAAATGGACAAGCATTGTGCCGAGCCAGTCATACATTAAATAAACATTAGGGTATGCCACGAAAAGACAGTGTAACATTTAGCAGTACGTTGAAGACAGAAGAGATGAACAGTCCATTATTGGATCATTGTTCTTGTGAAATAGTTTGACAATTTTTCTAAATAGGCAGAAGTATTTTTTGCTATACAGTACCAATTCTAGATCACATGGACAGTCAAGATTATCTTCATCCATGAGCTGCTTGAGTTGATGCCTTATATCTTCTAGCATTGAACAAGACAGCAGATAGTGTTTCACCCCATCCCACATCTCGCAGATGGGGCAGCAGTTCATGCCAATGATATTGAACCTATGAAGGTATACATTGAACTGTCCGTGTTCAGACAGAAACAGTAAAGTTTGGTGATGGGGTAAAATCAGTTCCAGCAAAGATATCTTTTGATGCTCAGGATAAACTGATGGGTGTTGCTCAGGAATGAGTTCCCATTCTCGCTGCCATGCTGCAATGATGTCATGCCATAAAAGTGCTTCAGTCTGGAAGCTGGTAGATAACTATAGGCTGGATCAGTGTTTGTAAGTAGAGTAACTGCACATGCAAGAGAATCAGCATGTTCATTTCCCATAGTGCCACAGTGTCCCCGAATCCATTTAATACCATAAGTGTTGTTGGTCTGGGCAGCAGAAGAAAGAATATCTCTAGCTATGGGATGGGTGCTATCTTTATTAGTTAATACATGGATGGTGGCAAAGCTGTCAGTTAGGATGGAGATGTCATTAATGCTAAATTTTATGTTGCAAAACTCTATTGCTTTAAACACAACAAACATCTCGGTCTAAAACACTGAACACTCTGGGTGCAGAACATAAGTGTTGTGATGAACTTCATTGGTGTTAACATGCATGACAAAAGCTCTTGCAGTATCCATGAAGTTTTCAACCCATTGGTATAAACCTCAATGTTGGTTTGGGCAATCACGAGGTCCAAGGCCCCTCCTATGTGTTGGATGAGGCAAGTCCACAAAAGGCCTGCTGACCTCGTAGCAAGACGCATTGTACATATTACTAGAAATAGTGATGCTCTTTCCTCTGGACAGCAGAAACTGCCCAGCACAGTATTGGATTTGACGGAGAATGGAAGGCTTCCCTTTCCCTGCAAGAACAGGAAGAGCATTTGAAACAGTGCAGTAGTAATGAGTAAGTTGTAGGAGAGCAAGATGCTGGGCTGTTCTAAGCTGACAGTGGTTGTGAGATTGGGAGGCTGCCTCACTCCAGACAACTGAAATGTAGCAAATGATGGGCATGAACACACAGTCGTAAATAGCATTGATGGCCTCATAGTCAAGACCCCAACTATTTCTGGCAAGCCATTACTGCAACAGATGGTAGCACATAGAATTTTCCTGTGTGGAGTGAAGTAGTGTTTTGCCCCTGTACATCATACTTTTTCTGTTAGCAATAGAGTTGTGACAGTTATGTATCAAACTCCATTTAGGGCAAAAATTTTTAATTGAAATAACATGACATTCAATTTGTATTGGAAGTTCAGATATAGTTAATTGAGGCCTCCTGTCCATAAGCTTTCCATATCTGGTCTCAGCATTCATCTATCTAACTCTTAGTTGGTTAGGGTTAGACAGCAGATGGACAACAGTGAATTTATAGTCTGTGAGTTTTTCAAAATGAAGCCCAATAAGTACCCTCCAGTAACCGAGTGTATAAAATCACCAAACGTCAGTAGTCTGTTATGGGTTTGCACATGGTCAACAGACTGGTTGTGTGCAGTTTTCTACATTTTCTTCATGTTAGTAACACCTAAATAGGGGACAGCTTTACATAAGTCTTTCTGAGATGTATCCTCCTTGGCAGATTGCTCACATGTCATGCTGCTGTAATTAAGTAAACCAAATCAATTCTAATAATTTTTCTATAAATGCAATAATTCACGTGGACATACTTCACTATCACAAAATTGGACACTCCCCTGATTTCATCTTTACTTTTTAACTCATAAACACATGGCTCCAAACTTCCTTCACTGGTACTGCTTAAAGATGTTCTAACAATGTTCAGCCAAATTAATGTATTGTACTGTACTGTACTGTACATGGAACAATTTTAAGGTACAAAGCTCGAAGTCTTTTTCTGTGCCAATATTTATTTTTCCTATTTATTATCACGGTGAGATTGCTTCATTCAAAACTTCCTGAAGTTGTAGTCTGTGTAATATGCACTTTATTCACATGTTGTGTCTTGCTGTTAAATCTGCTTCCACTATTCTTATACCACAATTTTCAAAACTCTCCTTTACTATGTTTCTGCTTAGCTTTACTTTATCAATCTGGTTTTACCAGTTTTTTCTACAAGATCATATAAAAGCAATTATTTTTGTATTTTTATGGGATTTTTTTATTTATTTAAACAAATCTTATATCAAGTCTTCTGGATGTTAAGATTAGCAACTTTCATCACATTGGGGCTATCACAACCTATCCAACACGGATCACTTTTCAAATGTTAATAGTAGACCAATATTAATTAGTAGTCGTTGACCATCCTTTCTTCTGGGAGGAGGTCAATAACTACTTTTGGTTGAATTAACTGGGAACCCCTGCTCTACTGTATACAATTTAAAGAAATTTTTTTAATGTGTTAGATTGTTCACTTTGATAAACACTTACATAAGGTAACCTTTATAGTTGTATAAATCAAATACTATACTATAATATAATATAATTGAAGGATTAGAAGTATGAAATAATCTTAATGTTTGCTTGTATTTTTTGCTTGGGCAATGCCAAGCTTACTTGTTAGTATATTAATATTTTGTCAGTTTCCTAATTTTTAAATGTATTTCTTCTTTCTGTATTTGTTGTTTCCATAACGTTTGGTATTTACTCTCTCAGCTGTGTTGATTTGTGATATTTGAATTTTAAATTTCTATGTTGTATATAATTAAGATTGATACTTTCTATAATTTTATAACAATGTGCACATTTTTTGAATGAAAAGTTTAATACCATATGTTTTAGAGTAGAAAGTTTAGGAATAATGTCATTAGTTATAAAAGTTGTAAAGAGATGGCTTAAATGGTACTCATTTTATTCATCTACATTGATTAACAATCAGTAAACTATTATAATTTGATTGATTGATGAATGAATTGTTTTGATTGAATTGAATTGATTGAATGATGAAATTTTTTAATCCATTAATTTATGATTGATGAAGATAGATTGGATATTATATTGGCAGATAATTAAAACAATTATCATTATGCCAAACAATCTGCCATATTATCCAGCTGTAATAAGGCTAATAATTACATATAAAGTAATTTGACTAGAGGTATGTGGTCGGGCTGTCATTCGTGATAATTTTAATACAGACAACTCATATTAATATGAATCACTAGGGAACAGTAGTTAGTTCACTTTATCGAAAAATTTGTATTAACAATTTTCAGAGTTGAGGTTGTATAATTTATGCATTAAGGATTAATAAGCAGTTGAAATCTCTAAATTATAATATTTTGAATTAATTTACTAAATAAAGTTAAATAAAATTAAATTTATTTACTAAAATAAATTAATGATCTAAATGATTTTCAAGTCAAACAAAATGAAGAGAGTATTCACCATTTAAGTTTAGAGCAGTATATCAAAGGAAAGCAAAGCTAAAAGAAGTCTGATTTTTTTTTCCTTCTGTTGAAGTTTGTTTGAAAAGTAGATAATATTTTTTCATGCCAAAAGAGTAAAAACAGGCCCAAATTTGGTGCAAAGTAATCAAATCTGGCATTGCTGTATGCACCCTCAATATGCAAGATAACACCTGTTTACATGGGACCGCATCCATTTACAGGGGTGGTCATTCCTAAATTTTAACCCCTGTTTTCCGAGTACAGTGGAATGCTCTGCAAAAACCAGATGTTTGAATTGCTCTACAATCAGAGATCAACCCATCTTTGCTTACTAAGAGAAGAAAATCTGTTCTACTGAAAGTAGAACATAAATTACAGTACCACTTAACATGGGTGAGTTAGAGCATGTTGTGAATTAATATAGGAGGTATATAGATGACATCATCATTATCTGGAAAACAACGCCAGATGCAACAACCTTTGTCGATTCTTTCAACAATAACCCACACGGGTTGACTCTAGAAATAGAGCAATCTCACCCATCAGAAGTACACTTTCTGGATATTAGCATCAAGATCGATAGCTCGGGAATCAATACGTCGGTATATCATAAACCCGGAGCCACATCATCATATATTCCGACCGGGTCATGTGATCCGAGCTCGTACAAGACCGCAGCTTTTAGAGCATTAATCCCTTAACGCCCAACTGGTTTTAATTATGATGTAATTAAGCATAAAAATACATAAAAATACTTAAAACTGAAAAAAACGAAAGAAATGCGTTACTTTTGAAGAAAAAGCTTCAAATTTTATTTTCCTTTGTCTCGCCTTTCTGTGAAATTTAACACCAATGAGTCATTGTTTACACAGCTGGATGACCTTGAACACAGCTGGAGTCTGATTTCCCAGGGCATTCTCATAGACGTCTTGGGAGGACAAGGGTTTAAAGTAGGGTGAATATGACAGACACGGATATTTTAAAATATTTTTAAAAAATTAAAATTTTAATTGCGATTTCCGACCCCCCCTAATTAATTAAATTAATATATAAAAAATCGATTGATTAAAAAAATTAAAAAACTTTTGGAGGTCGTTTTTGACATCAGAAAGCAGCTTTAAATAACTTTACCGAAGTCAAATCCGTGCACTACAACTTTAGAACGATTAATTAATTTTGATAAAAAAAATTCCATTAAAAAACAATTAAGCCTTAATCGAGCCTTATCAAAGGCTAATTAAAATCGCGATAAAATTTTTTTGCGCGGGTAAAAATTTTTGCAAAAATTTGTGAACCTAAAAAACATTCCAAAAA